GTGCAGGGATGCACCTCTGTCTCCTCACTTTCCCAGGAGAAGCAGTGCCAAAAATACCCCTCAAACATATAAATTCTGCCCTACAAAATGACTGAATTCCTGTACAGAAATACTTATTATTTGATTCTGAGTTGCAGAGGTGACTTCATGTGCCATGATGCACTGCAGAAAAGGATCAGCGTGTGCTGGTGGAAGTGGCTCTCACCTGCCCTAGACCACCGTGTGCCAAGGAATGAGACATGAGGAGGTTGGAGCAAACCTGAGAATTTAAACTCTAATACAGCATTAATGAACTTTCTCAAAAGTGGCTTTTGGCTTCTGGAAACCTCCTATAAGAGAACTGAGCAGCTGCTGCAGAGGTGAGGGAAAAGCAGCACAGACTTGGCTGCAGTTGATGGTGCACTAAAGCCACCCGTTATGGACAGTGTATTTGAGAAAATAGTTCAGAATTTGTTTGAAAAACATTTCTGTGCTTTTCAAGCCACAGGCCCTCCAGAGGAGGCCACAGAGATGCTGCAAGCGCTGGAACAGCTCTGCTCTGAGACAGGCTGAGAGAGCTGGGCTGGTTCAGCCTGGAGAAGAGAAGGCTCCACAGAGACCTTAGAGCAGCTGCCAGTGCATAAAGGGGCTACAAGAAACCTGGACAGAGGCTTTGGACAATGGCCTGTAGGGAAAGGACAGTGTGGAATGGCTTTAACCTGACAGAGGGGGGATTGAGATGGGATCTTAGGCACAAATTCTTCCCTGTGAGGGTGCTGAGGCGCTAGCACAGGTACCCAGAGAAGCTGTGGCTGCCCCATCCCTGTCAGTATTCAAGGCCAGGTTGGATGGGGCTTGGAGCAACCTGGTCTAGTGGAAGGTGTCCCTGCCTGTGGCAGGGGGTTGGAACTGGGTGAGCTTTAAGGTCCCTTCCAACCCAAACCAGCCTGGGATTCTATGAATTGTTTTGCTAACCATTTGCTAGGACACAAGTGAAAATCTCCACAGAATTCCAGAGGCTTTCAGGTCATCAACCCCGAATGCTCAGGGGTGCTGGGGTGCAAGGCAGCTAGAATGGCTGGGTAATTGAATTAGTAACTGGGCCTTTGTTAATTACACCTGTACAGAGGCTGAGTGTGGCTGAGACATAACTCCAAAGTTTTACCTATGGGAACAGTGGACAGAGACTGTCAGTAGGGGTGTACAAATAGGTCCTTCGCAACAGGGTCTGACCCTCGTAAGGTGATCTTGAAGGTACGGATGTCTAGGACCGAGGTGACTGAGCAAAGGCCAGGTGCTGCAGATGGACACCAAAAAAGCCCTACTCATCGTGTCGGAGCAGGCAAAAGAAAGGGTCAGCTTCTCTCATCTCTGAAAGCAGCTCTTTTGGGTCAGGAGTACCTGCCTTTCCTGCAGTGGATTTGCTGGAGCTGAAACGTGAACCACCCTATAAATTGCTTGAACCTGAATTAAGGTGTTGCTAGGGAGGACTTTTAGGAACTCACCAACTTCAGCAGAGAGGAGAAAGCTGCCGCATAGCTTGTGCAAGGAGTGCAGGAGAGTCACAGCCCCATGCTCTCCATCCCTCACGCTCAGTGCCACACTGGTCCCAGATGCTCTCATGACCCCGTTTCCAGTTCATGTGTATTTGTGAGCCACCTTACACATTGATTTTAATGTTTTCCTGAATGCACTAAACCCATGACTACTCCTGATGCTACCAATTCTGCTGTGCTAATGCTCAGCAGCTCCCTTGCGCAACACCACCCCCCACAGGGAAGATGTTGTGGGGTTGTGCAGGGACTGGTGCATCTCTCTCATGCCAAGGGAGGAGGAGGCACAAGCTGACCCAGAGGAAACTCCACCTGCACGCAGTGGGGGGAGACCAGCGACACAAACAGTGCCCAATTTCCTTTCTCCCCCCACGTGTGCTTTTAAAGCTTTTTATTTATCCTCCTCTTGACGGGAAAGCGGGTCAGCACAGGGCACAGCATGTCACATCCACCCCAGCAGATGTTGCTTGAGCAGCCACTTCGGCAGAAAGCACTTCCCTGCTGCTGGTGGGATTCCTGCTGAAGTTCAAGGGACGCTTCTCCCCCCTTCCCCTGTGCTGAATGTGTGCTGCATGCTGGCAGAGCATCGGGACATCCAGCAGTGATTCAGACGTGGTTTCAAAGCGCATCACATACCACAGCAATCTGTCATTCCCGCGTAACAGGGCAACATTACACACGACAGGGAGCATCTGACCAGGGGCTCTCTTCGGACTGACAAGCAATGGGAGTGATTCAGCAGCAGGAAACACCCAGACAAAAGGCTCTCCCTACTGCAAGGCTTACGATTTCCCCAGCCCTAGAAACAGCTTTAGCACGGATCTGAGGGTGTACTGGCACCCACCAACACAACACCCCCATTCCCTTTGGTACCCTTGGTGGAGGAAAAGCTTTTATCCATACACTGCTCCACGGCAGGTCCAAGCTGTACCAGAAGTACCAGGTATCACTGTGCAGGGAAGGGGTGGGAGGATGCTCTGCTGGCAGCAGCGAGCCCTCAGCTGAACTCATCTGCCTGGAACTGCACCACGCATTGTGAAACCCCGTTTTACTAAAACATAAAGCAGCTCGCTCCACGTTCGTCAGCCCCTGCCGGGTGATTCAAAGGAAGCGTAAGACCGTGACTAAGAAAACGTGGTCAAAAGATGGAACAGACTGCCACTCTGCGCAGGAGAAAGGTCAGCTCCAGCGGGGGGGGACTCCCCCTTCCCAGCAGTACAACTGCAACCATCCGTAATGCTCTCACCGAGCGGAGACCTGGCCCAGGGATTTGGGATGCTCCGAGTGCAGGAGCAGCACTACGTGCTCCAGGGGACATGTAAATGGGAATAGCAACTCAGCCCTAGATGGGATGTTACTGGTCATTGGGTTAAAATAATTACTGCTGCAGTGCTGCTCTGTCCTGGACAGTGAAAACATATGGATTTAGAAATAAACCCAGGTATTTGTAAAAGCCTTCCTAAGCTGCCTGGTGTACTGCTCTTAGCTGCCTTCCCCCGCAGGCAGGTGCAGCAGGTAGGGCTCATTTCTTCTGTGTATTGCTCCATGTGATTGCACAGAAGTTGTCAAACTGCTTCTGAGAGCAAAACAGAAAAGCATTTTGCTTCCCTACATCTGTACCGACCATAATTGAGTACAGAAATGAATACACGGCTATTTCTGCACACACACAACACCCCAAACCAATGTGGGAAGCTCAATGCACATCCTACAACACAAGGTTAAAAACCAATCCGATCACAAATCTAACTGCATCGATTTACCACACAATATGACAGATGTACTATGTAGTGTTTGCCCAGGAGTTTTTAAAGCCAATAGGTAACTTGAGAGTTAACCTTCCTGAACAGCAAACGGAGCGATTCACTGCTGGCCTTGGAAATGAGAAATGGACTATTAGAAACACTTCATGAAGACCCATCAATGCAATCCAACCTTCATGGAACAGCAAATGACTGGCTGTTCCTATAAGTGAGATGTAGCTCAGACAGCACACAGACACTCGCTCTGGGGATCTACCTCTGAGGGTTTTTGTTAGGCTGACAGGACTATTACAGTAGCTCCCACTTCAAAAGAATTTGGGGGTAAAACAGGCTTACCACTTAAATCCCAACCTGTGCTGGCTTTGGTGGCACTTTATAACCAGGTGCCACCACAGCAGCTCATGCAGCCATGTTTTAAATTCTCTGATGAAAGGATGACTGCAGGGACGGGCTCCTGATCATTCACCCTCCAGTGCAAGATCTTGTAAGTCATATGAAAACCTTCAGCTCAGTGTTACATAACAGAACTAAACCAGGACACTTGTGAGGTAGTACTCTGACAGATGTCAGTATTTCATTAAGACGCAAACCCCCAGTTCCTAAGCCTGTGGAATAACGTGTGCCATACCGGTCCTTCCACCACCCTCCAAAAGATCAAAGTTACTGAAAACTTCCATACAAAGATCTACCTTGAGCTGAAAACCACAGCAAGATGAGATGAGGGGGACCCCTTATTAGAAATGGTGCAGAGATACATGGAGAGCAACTGTCTGCTTCATTTCCACACAGGAACAGAGGAAATCATCAAGAAAAGGTCAGGAGGCTGCAGGTCCACAGGGTCCTGAAACCGCTCTTAGTCCATGAAAAAAAATGTATGGAAGTTACCATACAGGAAAAGTTGAGAACAGTGGTGGATGTAGCCTAGAATCTCACTGCTCCTTTTTTCTAGGTCCTCCATGCATGGTGACCATTGAGCTATGATACAAGGCTAACGCAAGTTGTTGTCTGACGGTACTTTCAAATCTTGCATAGATTTTTCTTTTAAGTGTTTAAGTTCATGAAACCACTAACACTGGTAGGAGAGCATCATTTGAGAATTACATAGCATTTTAGCTGCATATGCAGTTAAAGATGTACTCTTTAGAAGGAAGACCGTCAGTGAATCAAGAATCATAGATAGAATGGTTTGAGTTGGAAAGGACCTTAAAGCTCATCCAGTTCTGACCTCCTGCCATGGGCAGGGACAACTTCCACTACACCAGGTTGCTCAAAGCCCCATCCAGACCAGCCTTGAAAACTGCCAGGGATGGGGCATAAGAAATAAGAAAAAACAAAGTAGTCTAAATGTTATTTCACTGGATTCTCTAAGTGTATGCTCATTTACTGCCACTGAAGCTCTCTTCTTTTTAAAAGTCTATAGGAGATAAAGTGCTCACAGCTCACCCACCTCAAGGCTCAACAGCATCACCAAGAGTTTGTTACAAGCCTTGCTCCATGTGTACAGGGCTGCTGAATGATGCTTCTTGCTCCTGCACAGACTTCTGTACGCACTGCGTTTACATACCTGAAGCTCTTACATTTAGAGAGCAACAAGCCAGCAACACAGGGTGAATTTTACTTCTGGGTTTTAAACATTATTGTAGCATACATAGCTTAAGTGTTCTTGTGTGTTTTCAACCCATAACTCACATTTGGCAAAAGTAAGTAGGAAAAGAAAAAACAAACTTAATTTTATTTTTCACTTTTGAAAGCATTTTACACAGGTTTTGATCTTCAGAATACTTCGGAATCAGTAGAAAAAACTAACTGAACAGTTTGTTTTTACAATAGAAACCTTTCAGGAGTCAAAATGGAGCCTAAAAAAATACATGCAAAACATACTCCTTTCAAAACACAACTTGAAACAAAGCACCAAGCTACACAAATATGCAGAATGAAACAGCATTTAACACCACAGAAGTAGTCCTCACAAAAGGTGTAAAAGTCACCTATTCACTAGGCACTGTTCACTTGTTTAAATGGAAGAGACAATAAAAATATTGTCCACAAACTTGCAATTTCAACTCAAAGGCTGGAGCTAGAAATTCCTCTACATGTCATGCTTTAATAGCGACCTGGAAGAAAAGACAAAATACATACACTGTTAGACTTCCACGGGTTGTCAGATGTTTAAGATTCCTCCTAAACTCATTGCCTCCCCTCAGATCTGCATCAAATTTAAACATCTTGTGATGTGTCGATGATCAATTCAAGCAGTCAGGACAGTTCTACCATTACGTTCCTTTGTGTAGGAAACTCCCAGTTCCTGTCATGTGCCCAGGGCCAATGTTCTGGAGCACAATGAGAATTCATACTCTAACTGCTCTGTGGTGGCCAGTTTCCCTATGGATCAGTAAAAGCAGTTACACTTGTTTTCATTTGGACACAAAGGGTAAACATGAGAACACGACCTATTCATTCACTCTGTATCCATTACAAAGGGACTATGCTAGGAATGCTACTGTGGTTTATTACATTTCTGCCATCAAAATGCAGCTTTATCTTCCATGCAAATAAGCAATTCAGGGGGAAAAAAAAGCCCTGTTTGGAGCTCAGATGAAGTTAACCTCCTCTTTAACAAGTTAGGTTGGGAAATTTCATGTTAGAATACGTGAGGCTTGGGGATTCAACCTTGCTCCCATAGCAGCACCCAAACTGTCAACATACTACAAACTCCTGTTTTCCTGTTTCTGAGAAAGAAATGGTACCTCAGACTTTTTAACAAGTAGTATTATCTAGTTTGGTTTATTTGCAAACTAAATATTTGCTCTGTCCTCAAGGTTGCCAGTTGCTCAATGGAACATTAAAGGGAACTGTGGTTCAAAAGAAAAAATAACCACACTGAAGTCAAATAGTCTGTATGGACACTAAAGCTCCAAAGAAGTTGTTCAGGCAAAGTGCAGGGAATCTGCTTTTGATATGAAAACTCTGCAAGTACTTACGAGGTGAATAGGATCGAGATCTGGATCGAGATCTGTAGCCCCCTCGGCTGTAATATGGGGATGGTGACCTCCTCCTGTCAAAGAGAGTGACAGAAAAATCCCTTTGTTAAAGCCTGTGGCAGATGAGTTGCAGCAGCTTTGTGCTGATACCTCTAACCCCATCCTGGTATCAACAGTATACCTGGGAAAGCTACTGAGCACATAAATAACTGATCAATATTTCTACTGGATAACAAAGCAAGCATTTGAATTTTCTTAATACTCTTTTTATTACCATTTCAGAGTACTATTACTTTGGACTAACAGAAGAAATACAAGCTTTCTCGCATTCACAATTTGACTAAATGCCGTTTTAGTGCTTCAAGCCAGGAGCATCTCAAAACAAGCCAAGTCACACTTCAGCTTTAAATCTAAATTAATTGCCCCAAGACAGAACAGTTTGACTAGCAGTCACTGCTACAACCAACCTCACCCCAAATCCCTCAAATCCAGGCACTCTCTCAAGCTTTGTGTTTTCTTGCCTAGTTCTGCTTAATTCAGCACACTGACTTCTTGGCATAAATCACAAAGCTTTTCCTTTGCTAACCTGTGCCTGTACTAACCGGACCCCTCTACACAGCGACAAAGGAACCTCTGCAATGAATCACACTGCTCACTGAAGAGCTGCAAGTGCTCAGCATCCGCCCAGTTTCTGTTCATGTGTTTAAAGAATCAAGCCTATCTGAGGGTTGAGTCATAGAACACTCAGTAAATGCCATGCGCATTTCCCACGGATGACCAGACACTAAAAGCTTTCCTATTATACCTGTAAAACTGATCCCTGTCTTGAACAGCTCTCCATCCTCCACCGCCACCGCCACCTCCTCTGTGAATACAAAAGAAGAATGGCTTTTGAATTTTAGAAACAAACAAAAAGTTCATTGTACAAGGAAGAAGCATCATCAAGCATGAGAAAATAACAAAGAGAAGAAAACATTGGTTCCTACACTGGATAATGCTGAATGACTTCATTTTGTATTCCTGGAAGGAGCTGGCTAAACTTGGTGGCAAGGAGCAGTCAAAGAGGACTCATGTTCCACCTCACCAATATTCTATTTCACAATGTCATATTCTCCAACGAGCAGCATTCAAGATTGGTACGTACCCTTCGCTTCTAAGGCCACTTCTATTCCGAGATGCTTACCTGCTTGAGGCAAGCAAGTCTACTTTTTTTTTTTTAAGTAGCAAGATCAATTCACTGTCCTGAGGAAAAAGTTGATTCCAAGGGGAAGGTAGGGGGAAAAGTTCCACATCCTTACATTTTAACATTTCACAATCATGTTTAAACAAGGGCATTTAAGATACAACTTCTGATTTAAGAGCAGCCTAGAACTGAAATAATATGTTATAGTATTTAACAGCCTTTGGGCTGGTACCACCACAGACTGAGATACAGTAGAGCATTACCAAGAGACTAAATCAAGTTTGGATTATGGAATAGTCACTGCCAGAGATGATTCACAGCACCTCAAAAAGGCTGCAAATCAGATGAAGGACAAAGAGCCCCCAAACACCACAATCAGCAGGTCTCCTTTTTTAATTATTATTATTATTTGTTTAATGTCTTCTCTATTTGGTAGTGAGCCAATGTGCCAGCTGGGTTTTTTTAATGTTATTCTTTACTTCACAGACACTTTTCCAGACAAGATTAAGCATCCCACAGCAACAAGAAGAAGCTGAAGTTTCAACATGACAATTCCCATCTGAAATTGTATTTCACTAAAGGCTTCACTGCACAGGGGGGAAGGAAGGCAAAGTGTTACCAATTGATTTTCTAGGATTGAGTACTAGTATGCAATGCTCTACTGCATCTTTAACAATTCTAACTTCCTTAAGGAAGCACTTGCAACATACCAAACACTATCCTCTCTCCCTCAAACCACCATTATCTGCAGGATGAAAAAATGTAGCCACACACAAACCATTTGTGGCTTACATTTACTGTTTCAATATCTGCTATCAATAAACATTACAAAGGTTCTGCAGTGAGCTATAACACATTTGGGGGGGTGGGGGTGTTTGGTTGTCTTGAGGTTTTTTTCCCCTGAACATAGGAAATGGAAAGTACCTCTGCTGGAATTGTCAACATTTGGGTATTTCCACGCCAAAGCCCTAGTTCACAACACACACAGGATGGGAGAACATGAAGGAAGGTCAGAACATTGCCCAGCGCATGACTGCCTCACTGAGCTAGATCAGAGCATGGCTGGGAATTCTGGCAAGCTGCATTCAGACTAGTACCCTAATTGCAGTAGCCCATCTTCTATCATAGAATAGTTAGGGATGGAAAGGACCTTAAGATTATCAAGTTCCAACCCCCTGCTATGGGCAGAGACACCTCACACTAAACCATGTCACCCAAGGAGGCTCTGTCCAACCCAGCCTTGGGATGGAGCATCACTACTTAGTAGTCTGCTCTTCCTCATCTCATGCAATGTAGTCTTTTATGTTCACCCACTATCACAGTCTGCAATTATTTTCACTAGCATGCACCCAGAACCGATGTAATTACAACTTCTGATAATGTTTTATGAACATTTGAACCACTGTTCACCATCAGAAATCAAAAAGGTAACACTTAAGCACTTAAAGACTTGGGGTCACGCCATAACGTAACAAGGAATAAATTACACTTTAAGGACATGCAAGCAACAAACAACAGATTTCAAGGATAACCAGTACACCCTGACAGATCCTTTAGGAAAGAATAAAGAAACCTGTACTATGAAGATTAGTGGCGTAAAACTCCTACCAAACACTGCAGAGCACCACATCTTTTGCTGGTCCTTCGGTGCCTTTGCCCTTCCAAGAGGTTTACATCAGAACCCCACAGAAAGCATGGGAAGTGGGAGAAGCACCACTTAACAAAGAGCTTAGCAGACTATGTTGCAAGTCTTCTGTTCCCCAACACTCTGGCGAGCTGCTTCAGTTAATTTACCCACTGGATTTCAGTGAATTCCTTTCGGTACAGTAAGTGAGATGAGGCTATGTTAACTATTCCAAGCAAGCTTTTGCACCTTGTGCTTCGAAACAAACTGGAAGTTTGACTGAAGAGCCATCTTAAAGCCTACATACAACACGTCTGGGTTGTGCTATGCCCACTGTCAACTTCAGATTTTTAGCTATTACAGTTCTCCAAAACATTTAAACCTCTGGTATTCCCAAAAACTGGATTGCTAGAGGCAGAGAAGTAGCCTAATCACTGCATCTCATACATGGGCAGAACATGTGTGTCTCCTGTGTTCATTGTGATGATGTAGAGCACCTTGATCCCCTTCCCTGTCTCCAGCAGCACTGAAGCACTGCAGAAGCAAGGCACCCGATTTAAGTGACAACAGAAAGGCAGCGAGAGGAGAAACAGATCAGAAGCAACGCCAACATCCCAGGAAGGAGAAGTAGCTGAAAGTAGTAGTAGGGGAAGGAAGAGACAGCTTCCCTTGGTCAAGTACCAAGACCATACAGCTACCAATATCAGCATAAAGATGATATTTAAGTCTTAGCCTACAAAAGCACCAGGAGAAATACTGGAAGCTTAGCACTTTTATTTCCTTTGCCCCTAAACGATAAGATGACAATGCAATTTGAATTCATGTATTTCCATGAATATACAGTTGCTATGAGGGAACAATCGTAAATCCACCTATTGCTGATTTAAGCTTTGTAAACCACTTAGGAAGTACTACTATAGAATTCTGCAACTAAAGGAACATTTAGTAATTGCAGACACTAACAGTGAACTCCTACCTTTGTGTTAAGTTGGGAGTTACTAACTCCTAACTGAAGTGTACCAGAAATTGTGAGGATTTCACAGGGAACAAGTCTCGTTGGCACTCTTAATGGAAAATGCAGAGGACAAACTTGCTCTATCACTAAACAAATTACACAACAATCACGTTTTCTATCAGCATTAAAAAAGAGATTTTCTATCAACTTTACTACTATGCTATCAAACACAGAAGTTTAAGCTGAAGACAGACATAAACAGGAGGAGTCCTTCAAGTAAAACACACACATCCAACCTGACAGAGTATGTTAAAAAAACAGCTTTTTTTTTTAATGCAAATGTCCGATATAGAACACAATGTTCCAATGCCTGATCCCTTATCTTTGGCAATGTTTGAGGTGCCATATTTTTTAGTAGGGAATACTAGTGACCAATGAATTTCCCACATTTTATCTACTATCTGACACTCAAAATGTTAAGTTCACACTATAATACTAATTCAAGTATTAGATCTGCACCTGTGTTCTCACCATTTCAGCACTAACAGATGAACAGAAGATTATTTTAAAATCAGAGTACAGACATAATGTAGATTAAACAAACATTGTGACCTAACTCATGCCACAGGTTAAATACCACAAAGGCTTCTCAATCTGACCAATCTGATTTGTACCAAGCAGTCATTTTGGTAAGATTCCAGACGGACAGTGAGACCAAAATTATTTTGGCATACATATGCATGCTTTACACTTACGTATGTAGAAAGGTAGATGAGAAAGCACAGTTTAAATAGCAGTCGAATATTACAAATATTGCCTCACCTGTATGATCTGCTGTAATAGTCACGATCATCATACCCTCTGTCATACCCTCTGTCATAGTAATCTCGTCGTCGTGAGCTGCCACTACAAGCAGTGAATGAGAATTACATTTAATAAAATATAAAGCATTAATATTGTTTGCAGTGCTTTTCAGTAGACATACAGTCACAATTAAGTACACAACATTTTAACTGGGTTATATTACTACCTTGCATTCTCACAGCTGAAATGTGTGGGAAAGCAGGACTGCTCACATCAGTACAGATGGGAACAGAACTCCTTAAATAATGGCTTTTTAAAAATGCTTGAACTTTAAGACAGCTACTTTTCTCCTTGGTTTGAAACCTCTTAACCTTTTGGTATCACAGGCACACAAAGAATTCCATTCTGTGACAACTCTTCATTCACTTTTAACTCTCAGAAGGCTCCTTTTGGAAGAACTTTTCAATTAAAAAATAACCTGCAGTCTCAACAAAATATTAACTACATAACCACCAGTATCATAAGCTGAATGCTGTGGGAAAACAACTGGGAAATTACTTGGGGAAATTTAAATTCTTTGCAACTGTTGACTTAAAGTGCACTCTGTGGACAGGCAAACTGTGCCACACAGCTGCTCAATTAGTATTTGTCCATTCATTCTTGAAAACTTGAGCTTGCAGAAGACATTAATATTTGAATCACATGTGGCAACAATTAAAAATAATTTAGAAGTTGTCAAAAATCTTACCACAGACTTATTTAAATGTTTAGATAACTTATGTCTGGGCCATGTAACTAAGGAATCCAAGTTTCTGCTCACTGTAATCCAGGCTGGCCCTTGACCAGTCATGATAAGTGCTATATAAATGAACCCCTTGTACCTGAAGAGGTGGAAAGATACACATTACTACCGATGGCTGTCACAAGACTATTAATCCTATCCCACACCAATTTGGAAATAAATCCACACAAGTAACTTACTAAGTGGGTCTTCCCATATAGATTCCAGGGGTTGGTGTATGAGGTCTTTTTGTTATGGAGAAGTCTACCCGGATCCTTCTTCCATCCAGCTCCATTCCATTGGCACGTTCCTTTGCCTAAACAGTGATAAAATACAATTGGCTTTAGGTATGAACTTTATTACCAATACAAGTTTCACTTCACACAACCACTGCTTCAAGTATTAAGTCCTAAAGTGGCTCAGGATGTACATCTTGAGTTTCACTTATGCCTCAATAAAAAAACACTGAAGATAAACTGCAAGACATTCTAGGCCAGCTGGATGTAGACGTTTGGTAACCACCCAAAATGTGACTAATACTGCATAACTCTTTCAATATATCTGCTTCTAATATGGTTATGAGGAACTTTCAAACATGCTTATGGAGATGCAAATGCTCCAAGACACAACATGAAGCCTTTAGAAGTTCACAAAGGAGCACTGTTAAGACTTTTTCCTCCAATACATCCTCAAAACCTACCATAATCTCAAATATAGTAGTATCCAAGTCGTAAGTAAATCTGATATAAAAAAAAAACCACAACAACCCACAAACACCAAACAAAAAACCAAACAAAACCTGTTGGATTTTATGTCAATTAGCAGCATCTACATCCAAAACTCCAACCTAACATGGAAGCCTTCAAGCCAAATTTGGAAAAAGACTACAGTAAAGACTTAAAATAATGGAACTTATGCAGAATACAAGCCTAGTTACAGCCCATAAGCATGCTACTCTCCAACAGCTGGCCTGAGCATAGAATTCTATACCCATTAAGTACAGGATTCCCTGTTCACTCTGTAGCACAATTCCCTATTCATTCATTTATAAGCACAAATCCCATAATTTCTTATACTGAGGCTGACACATATAGCCTGGCCTTTTATTTTTCTGAAAAAGATTCCCCCCTGCTGCTCCTTCAGACTGAAGCAATAGAGGTCAGCAGAAGGCACAGCAGCACTCCCAGAGAGCTCCTAAAAGGCTGCCTGGTCTACTCTGAACATGCCTGTAAAATCACGTGAAGTTAGGAAAGAACTATTGTAATTAAAACAGAGCCTGTGTTTCTATTTTCTTTTCCTTATTGGCATAGTTTGCACTATGGCTAGCCTGAAGTTTGCTTTTGTGAATTACAAAACAGCTCAGCCTGCACAGGGACCAATATTCGTGCCTCCCCACTCTCTCCTCTGATACCCAGTAGATCTTTTGAACTAGGACTCCTACATTTATTACGAGGTATCTAATATTTCTTAGGCCCCAAGTTTCTCCAGGCTATAGAATATACATCCTAGCATCTGAGAACACAGCAATCATTCCATATAATACTGTACCCCAACCTACTTCCTTAGCATCTTCAACGTTTTCGAAGTACACAAATGCAAATCCCCTTGAACGCCGAGACTGCTGATCATACACAATGGAAACATCAGCAATGGGACCATACTTGGAGAAAACTTCTCTCAGATCTCTTTCTGTGGTGTACAGGCTCAATCCAAACACGCCAAGACAACAATTTGGGTCAGGATTTGCCTAAAGGAAGGGGCAGACAGATATTAGAATAAGATCTTCAACACAAAACAAAGATACTGCTGCAATTCAGGCTGGGTTAATCTGCTAATAGACACTATTATAGTTAAGCTTACAGACTCACAAGCCTCCTTTCACAAAAATCCTTTGCATTTCTCATGTGCTGTGTGAACTACAGTTCCAGCACATAAGTACTACATTTAAAAGAAATTACCCTCCAAAGGCTAACTTATGACTATTGACTGTGGAGATTTATATATACACACACAGACTTGGATCACATCTTCATCTGTGTTAGTTACCACTTCCTCCCCCACTTCAGTACAAACCACACCACGCTCAAGCTGCCCAAGTCTATAAAGCAGCTAAACGCAAACTGGTTTGCATGCTCATTTCACAAAGATGCAATCCAAATAGCTTTTAATGAAATGAAATTTTAGTTTCCCAGGTTTTCTAATCAAGAAAAATCACAAATGTTTCTCCCCGCCTAGTTCTACCCCTGTCCTTTGCTGCATGTATTCACTCATTTATTACTGTGGGTATAGTGACAGCTGTTGACACTGGAATCACTTCTAAAGGCATCTGTTAAAAAGCAGACAAACAAGACACCCCCACCCCACAATCCCCAATGATCTTCCAGAGATCCATGGCTTATCGAAAGCTAAATGACCATTAAACTCCACAATATCTTTTAAACAGACCTGAAGCAGAATGTTTTTCTGGGAAACCCCAACTGAGTGATTACAGGAGGTATTTAGGACTATGCAAGAGCCATCTCTGGTAACAGACATACCCTGTTTCCAATATGACGTCTGCGAGTAGACATGGGTGAATGGCTGTGACTATGCCGCCGCCGATAATCCCGACTGTAAGACCTACTTCTGGATCTCCTGTGAGAGCGGGAGCGAGAGCGCGATCTTGTGTAGTGTCTACGGGAACTCCTCCTTGATCTAGATCTGAGGGAAAAAAAAGAAAGGTACAGTGTTGGTTTTTTTTAACCCTTCAAAAATTAAACCAGATGTTCACATACAAAAAAAGCCATTTTCCCACAAACCTGCAGTACCACATGATTTAGCTGCAATCAATTTAGTCACTACTCTCAAGGACTGTGCGCTAAATCTTTACAATTAGATTACTGTAGATGCTTAGAGCATTCCTATTGCAGAACAGGAATCTCAACTTCCATTTTAATTAGCTTTTAATTCCCCTATAATTTGTAACTTTCTCCAGCGAGACTATCTTGGTTTCACACAGTATCTTCACAGCATTTACACTAGCATTTAAGTAAAAATAGCTGGGGTGGCTTTCTTTCAAAGACTTCACACAAAAAGAGAACAGGAGTAAATATGACTTAACATAAAGCATGCAGGATTGCAAAGATGCACACTTTGTTTATTCTAGCACCCAGACTAGCACTGCTTTTAGTGTCACTGAAAAGCAAATATACTTTTTACACAGTGCATAACTACAAACATAGAAGTCTGGCAAATGCCCCCAAAACACAGAGCTTAATACAATTGAAGAAAAGCTGTAGTAGCCTTATTTACCTTCTGGTATTTCAAAACTTATTTCACATTAGGTGTTCATGAATGTTAACATGTTCACACTTCAAGTGTATTTAGGCAAAGGTGCTCACCAATTTCAGCCTAGGCCTCAAAACAGTTCCAGAAACATCTTCTGACAGCACTAGGTCTGTGGACATGAGGTTCTGAAACACTCTGATTCCTTCTCCTAAACCTTTAGCCCTCCCAAAACAATCTTAGTTGAAAAGTTGGACAGGCACTTAAATTGGAATGTAATGCCCGACTTTGGCCTGCTGACGGCAGTCACTGAATAATCTGCATTCTACACAAATACAAAGGAAATCGCTGCAAGGCTAGAAGTGCCATAAACACTTTCACATTCAAGGGCTCCTAATCATAAATTGTTAATCTTCAGACTTCTGTTTACGTCTTAAATGTCCTTCCTCTAATTTGTGGAAGCCAAGATAGTTAAGTACTGACCAAAATCATAAGCTACCATCATTGATCAACCACGTTTCACAGTACCTCCACCACCACTACACTTGGCATGAATGAAGCTCTCAACCTGCACCCTTTTTTACTCCTGAGCATTTACCAGCTTCTTCCACAGTCAGGATTTCTCACTAGCTAAGTGGCATCAGACAGCCAAACTGCACATATATACTCTGTACGTTACTGGCCTCCTTAAAAAAATAAAATGCCTTCAGCCCTGTCTGAAGTAAGCCAGCTAAGTTTTGTCTTTAATTTGAAATATATATATATATACATATATATATATAACCAGGAGAAATGACTTCAGCATGCCCCATTACAACACTACTAACTACAGATTTAGAAAGATCAAGGTTTTTTTTTTTTTTTCACAGAAAGTAAAAAAAAAAGAGAGAACTTCCCTGAGGCAGGAAAGACAGCAATAATAATAACAGTTCAACAGATACAGTCACATTTCAACTGCTAACATAGAAGAAAAAAGGCAAACACAGAACTGATGGTTCCAGGTAACAGAATACACTAATTACACTGAACAAAATCTAGACACTTCTAAACCAGGTTATCATTATGCAAGATAACAAGGCTCATTTTATATAGGCACTGTTTATATTGCTGCCTTAAATGTCATACTGCTGTTATTCTGCTTTATTGTCAAGTCACCACAGCTGACAGCTCCTATTCCTTCATTAAGAACTGTTCAGACTTCACAGTCAACCAAAAATAACAAGCTTGCTATGCTGCTAATGAAAACATCAAAAAAGCAGGTTTTTTAATCAAGCATATCCACGCCCCAAATGATAAATATGCCAGGACACAGATTTGTTCCCAAATCAAAGTTTAATTCATAAAGCTGATCACTCAGAAGTACATTTGCAACAGAAACCACCAAGAAATATAAAAGTTCTCACAAAGTTGTTTCTCTGGTGAGAGCCAGAGTTAAATGACTTGTTTGTGATCATATTCAAACATGTGACAGCACTGAAGAGAGATAAATATATTGGTTCTAAGTATGTGTGTTGACACAATTCTGCCCAAATCTGCTAAAGAACACACTCCAGCTCTGCCAAAGGCTGGAAATACTGGAAGTATATATACTACATTTTCAAGACAGCTGTTAAATGCTCAGGAAGCTGTGGCAGACATAGCACCTACTTCTGTTCATCAAAAACTAACAAGTCAGTTGCCAGGGTACTAGTTAAAGGTCCATTGATCATAAATGATTTGCTAGGTCTCTTGCAAACTCTCTATCTTGTATTTGCTTCTTCCAGCATTTTAGACAATTTATGACTGCATTCTCATACAGTACTATTCTGCAAGTAAGAAACATGGTGCTTTAAAGAATACGCATCCCTATGGTTGTGGATTAAGGTGCAGAAGGACATGCTGGGCTGGGTCCTGACTGGCTTATTACTTTAAAATTTGGAAATGTTTTGCAGTCTCCATCCTCTGAGGTTTTCAAAACCTAACTGGATAAAGCAAGCCCCGAGAACACAGTCTGAGCCCAGAGTTGACTCTGCCTTGAGCAGCATTTGACTGGGCTCTTCCTGAACTGTCCAATGAATCTCTTGCTATTGGCAATTCCAGAGGTCACTCCAATTTCACACTCTGTAAACTGGTATTACTCTACCAAGTATTTAATAATTTAACATATTTGTTCTTGTACTACAGGGATTGCCAAGTGCATAATTTAAAAATTGTGACTGTGCCTGAAATGCACCAAAAAGAAACCCCAAAGCCCGTTCCTTTGCTATCAAAATTTCCCAGGTATTTTCCTTCTCACAAAAGGCTTTCAAATGGATCACTTTGATCTTGCAAGGAGATCTAAACATGGTATTTGATAGCATTTTCCATCATGCGTGACTGCTAATAGTATGTTCCAGTGTTGTCATTCCCCAGCCTGACCCCCAGGCTTTGGCACGCCTAATCCTTTGCTTACACACATAAGTAGTATACTGTGAACAGCTCATCTGGAAACCCCACTGCTGAAACCCACATTTTCTAACCTGAATGCTTACGAATGAGTAAAGCAATGAACACAGTCATTTCTATAGCCAGCACTCAATTATACAGACTATTTAAAAAAAAATAACATCATTCACCCATTTACAGGCTTTGTTACCTTTCAATTCTTTATTTAATAGGCACATCTTACATGACACACCTGCTAAAGCCAAGGTAAAGTGGCCAGCAGTGATGTTTACAGTCTTATAAAATACGCCGATAGTCTAGAAATGTCTCAGTTATGTGCCTTAGCAGTTTTAAGAGAACTCTGCCACTGCACACAGCTAGTTCAGCAGGTAACGATAGGTAATACAGTAGTGAAGGCATTTTCAGAGTGTGCATTTGCATCACCATGTAACAAGTAAAATAAGCAAGCTACTTTCTCCACAACCTTGTTGAGAGCAAGGAAAGTCGTCTAATCTTTAAAGCTTTCCAGCCTGTTAAATTATTATTATTTAAAAGGTCAGACAAATGTCTGTTGAGATTCACACTTCTCTACTGCTTCTTTTTCATGTCCTGCTGAACCCAGGACAACCATTAAGTACTCCAGAAATACCATTGTTTCCAGTAAGAAAACATAACACATTAATGTGACCTAACTAAGATCTTGAGAAAAAAACAAGATCTAGAATTAGTAGTGCTTCATGCTCAGAAACCAGCCATTACTGTAAGACTTAAAAAGCATGCCACCTCCAAATTGTAGCAGCAAAGATACACGTCTATGTAACTTGTACAGGAAAAGCTGCAGGAAGATCTAACCTGATAGTTCCACTTTTCAAATCCTGAAACCAAACATGCCCAATGTCCACAGATCACCAGTTATCTCTGGAAACAAAATTGGGCTAAATCTGACTTCAGTTCACCTCTGACATAACGATCTGACTGCGAAGAGGAGGAAGAGGTAAAAGAAGTAAACTCACCTGGATTCAGACCTGGATCTAGATTTTGACCTGGAACGCCTGGAATCCTCCTTAGATCGAGATCTTGCAGGGGTGTGCCTCCCCGACTTGCCAGACCCATGAGCACTTCCGCTTCTGGAAGCAGAACGGGATTCCTGCACGCAGATATTGAAAGCCTAATTTGTACACAATTTCTTGTTTACCTGAGGTCTGTAAACAAGCTCCAGTGAAATAAAAGGTAAAAATTCACATCTATGTGTCCGGGCAGTTGGCATTAGAACTGCCTAGATTTTTTTTTAAGATTTTTTTTTTTGTCTTTCCTGGTAGACACTTCTTTACCCTGCATATACTTTTGCTATTAAACAGATAATGCATGCATGTTTAGCAAAATATACAGGGACACATAAACAGACTAGTAATTACTTAGCGTAGTGCTTTCAGATTCCAGATTACTTCTTATCTTAACTTCATTTTTATTCCTTTTCTTCATTCTTCCGTTTCAAATTCTGACTTCTTTCATCTTCCCCACTTCACACAAATTGCTCAATATTCTACAAGTGGGACTTCTGGTCTGATAATTAGCATGCATTCACTTTCTTTTTTTTCAAATTTCAGCTTCACTTATTCCTGAGCTTCAAATAATTCTCATTTATAAAACTTGTCAAATGGCGACTTCCGCATTTTCCTTCTTCAACATTAACCTTAATAGAAAAAGAACAGGATGAAGAATATTTAAAAACTCCAGGATAAAATCTAGTGCCAAAACTGAAACTAGAAAAAAAAAAGTTTTGTGGACTTTTACTATTATATGCAGTTCAAGAATTGAATCTACCAAATGCCCTACTATTTTATAAACAGATTCAGTCAATTCAGTTTAACTTAGTACTAAGTAACTGAATTAGCTATTTATTCCTGCATTTAATAGCAAATGCACAGTGGATCAACTGAATTATCAACTAATGAATTCTAGCATTAGGAAAGTCAAAATACTTCACTGTCAGCCACATACTTAAGACAAAATCAACAAGAAGTGACTTAAGTAAGATCCCTAGCGCGGCCACAGGTGACTGAAGTGCTTTTGGAATGCAGAAAGCACAATGCATTTGGTCCTTACTTTTTGGGACATTCTTGCAGTTTAGGCTTAATTTGAAGGTTTATGATCACACTCACGCCTACTCTGCCTGCACAAGCGTGATTACACATGCAGGCTTCATGCTTCGAAGTAAATCATCATTTTCCACTGAGTGAAAATTCAATTCTGTGCAATATGCACAAACACTGTTATACAATAATATCCCATCTCCTCTACTATTTATTTGAAATCATCTCTGGTAATGACATACCCTAATTAGCATTTTCAGCTTCTCTTTTTTTAATCAGTATATTAACTTCAGTCACATGGCCAAAACACTCAAGTTTGAGCATGCTAGAAGGTATTATTTCCAGATATTAAGAAAAAACGTAAAATCAGCACCAGAATTTTATTCCCCTCCCCCCACTAAAAACCACACAATTCTAAATTTTGTGTCAATTCTGATCAAGAATGCTCACTACCACCACTAGGGTACCAGAAAATAAAAATGACTTCTTAAATCTTTGTAACATCTCTTAAACCTGAACATTCGACTCAAAAGACATTCTCTACTAAGCATTCAGAAACTCATCTGCTGACCCCAAATTCAATCATGCTTAAACCACTTCCACACAACTCAAAACAGTTTAACCATTTACAATTGCCTACCATACTGGGGGGACACAACTTGCAGGATAAAGCTGATTTTCAATTAAAAGAGCAAAGTCAAGGACGTTCCTCTCTGTCACAATGCCTACGGAGGTGTTCTAAACTGTAGCACTCTCATATACTAATCTGCAAAGGGCAGTGCAATAGAACTAAGTTATAAATAACAAATTTAACCTAAACCCAGTATTTAATGTATTAATTTAACCATAATAAATCTTCAACTCTTTAAAGAGAGTTAAAGCAAGATTGAAGAAGGGCTAAAAAACAACACCTGTTCTTCATTTGAGGAAAAACACAAAACCTAACTCTCTTGACACACTCAGGCCAGACTGAAGAAGCCACGTCCAAATACTGGTGGTCTAATACTGAAAAGGATGCAAGAAGTAATGCAGGATGGGATCTTGCCTGTAAACATACCCATACCCTTTTCAGAGTTTTAGAAGTCTCTTGACATCTTTATCTTCAATCTATTTTATAGGATTATGCCACTTCTTTATTACTTCCTGGCTTAAAGGAATTCAGGTCACCTTATCTGCTCCAGATATTACTAAAAATAGTAACAAGCCCTAAAATTTCAAAGTTGTTACTATCCCCACCCAAGGAAATCCTTCCCACCCAAAATTTCAAGCACTGTGAGCTTGCAGCGCTCCAAATTTCCTTTACACCCCATTATACTGCACCCATTGAAGGCTCTCTTAAGCTATTCTGACAGCTCACTTCAATTGGAGAGTTTATTTGTTTTTTTTTACCACCTGTAAAATCATCTGTTGCTCCTAACAACTTTTGTTTTTCTACTTTTTGCTCTTTCGCTTTGTGTGTTTTAAGGTTTGTTTTTTCTTAAATGCCGAAGTAGGGTCTCATCATGACACACCGAAGACAACAGAAGAAACAACGTTTTTATCCTGTCTGTATTGAAACACTACTGGTACGCAGACAAGGACTGGTTTTTCAGTATTAAATAACTGGTTTTTAATAACCTTGAGACTGTGAAGCGTGGATTTTAAAAACTACCAGATCCCTTGATCTTTACCAACAGTTCTCCCCCTTCATCAGGCATTAGCGGAATTCAGGTGGAAGCTCTGAAGTCCAGGTCTGTGGTTTCCAAAGTATTCTTTCCATAGTTAAAGCATATTAAAACCAAAGTATAATACTATAGGGATGGTAATTTTAACACCCCTAAGCACATTCATCTACTCTATGAGCAGAGAATGTCACAGCAGGAGGATTATTTTGGGGGTAGTAGATAGAAAAGACTTCCATGGACAGAAGCAGCTGTAAGGTACGCAAGGACCATGCGTTCACACTTCTGAGATCCATTTTTTCCCATGGGAATACAAGCTACAGATTTCAATTAATAATGTAAGATACAAGCAAATAAAATTAACAGTATCTTTAAAAAATCCTAAATCCCTATGAACTTACATATATCCACTTGTTTTCCCAAAGTAAGGTGCAGACACATTACACATTATCAAGTCTGGAGACAATTTATTCAAGGTATAATTGCGAAAATTTCACATTCCTTCAACCTCTCTACTACTTAATTCAGCAATCCATCCAACAGAGCTTTTGCCTCTCTACCCCTGGAGCACATGATCACCAGATCAGATCACTGCTGGGGGCAGGTGGGAATCCACTCAGGAGGGTAAGCAGAACAGCCCCTTTCTGCAACAGTTTCCAACCTCTGCCAAAAAGAAACAAGAATGTATTTTGAAAAAGCCCAGAATCAAGCTAACAGGCCAGGAGCAAGGAAGCCCAGCTGCCTCCGCATTGACCCTGAGGGCTCATTCAGTGCATCAAACTGGCAGGAAACGAACCCATCAGCAAAAAGCAGCCAAACTGCCTTCTTACAGCTTAGGGCACTGAATCAGCCACCAAGAAGTCAGATCAAGTGCCACTTGATGAAGGAGGAACACAGAGGATGCCCTAATCTTTTAGTGGCATCAAGCTATCAGATTACTTCTAACCTTCTCAAACTGTTTCTTCAGACCTTCCTCCACAGGTTAGTAATAAAAACAGAATTTCTGGAAATGTATGTGTTAAGTACATTGTAAGCAGATTTACAAATTAAGCATTTATACCATTCAAGTTACTTTGATCAAAACCCAAAACTATGTATTTTGACCACCTGACTACCATATTAAATAGTTTCTGATCAGACACAAACCAAGTAATCACCATCACTATTAACCAACAGATAGGATGAGACTCACTATTCTTCCTTTAACTAGTCTTTCCAACCCTTCCATGCCTAGATCACATGCCCTTCAATGAGCGCAATTTCAATGAATGAAATCAAAATAAAAGTGACTTAGGAAAACGTGGCAATTGTCACAGCATTCTGACAGTATTTTAAGCATGCTTTTGTATCTGAAGTATTGGCAGCATTCAACAATTTATAGTATTTTCAGTTAAAAAAAAAAAAAAAGCAGCTTCTAGAGTTTAATCCCAGTATGGAGTATAAACTGTAAAAGAGAATTTGACCAAGGATATTCTTCTCTCCTCCCCCCTTTTTTTCCTCTTTAAACTGTTACATAAGCCCATTTGAGTTTGGGCTGCTGTCAAAATAGCAATCCCATTACTTGTGAAAGCACCTGGTATTTCTTCTTCATCCCCAACGGTGATCAGAACTCCTGGCTACACAATCAAGTCAAGCCTGCAAAGCAATGCAGCTGGAAACTTACCAGATCTGACTGACTATACAAACACTAGCACAAGGGAAAGAGCAGGAACATGTTTTCAGGAGCACAATTCTTCTTGGCAGCACAGACTTGGAACAGCTTAACAGATAGTTGTAAAGTCATATCCTAGATTATTTATCCAAACACTGTTTCTACTTTGTAGAGACCTTAGTGTTTCCAGCTTGAAAAAGTAGAAAGCCATTGACTCAGTAAAATATAAGCCTTCAATAAGCAAAAATCACCATCAGTAACACTGTCAATAGAATCTGCTTATGATTCATTAAGTTCAGGCATAACTCATTTTAAGCCTTGGTGAAGACTGCCTGCACATGATGGGGCTTTTCTTAAAATAAAAGTATAGAAAAGACAAAATAGAAAAGCAGGTGGGACAGCAATTGCTGTCCTATCATACCCTTCACAATCATGTTTCAAAGACATTTTGCTCTTAACATTTCCACTCATTCTGATTGAAAGCTAAACCAATCTCCTAGTTAGGCTACCATCTTAAAGTGGTAATCTAACTGAAATTAAATCAATTTAAAAAAAGCTAACACAAAGAAATCCACCTTGAGCAAGTCAGAAGTAATACTCCCTCACTAAAATTACACTAGTTGTACGAGTGACATGATGACATTAATGAAAACAAAATACCGGGGGTGGTAAGAGTTTTAGTCCAGGAGTCTTTAAACCCTGCCTTTCAGCACTCATTTTCATCTGGCATTTTTAGCTTCCTTGAAACTGTATTTTTCTAGCCTAACCTCCCTTGAAGTAGAAGCAGTCATACTAATAAAACTTACTACAGTGAATCTGAAAGAGAAAGCGCCATATTCAAAGACAGCCATTGCAATTTTGTGCTCAGAAGTATTATTTATTTTTTTTTGCCACTTCGAGTGAAAGTTTAAAATTTAAACTACTGCTGTACTCATGTGTTGTAGTAAAACTTAAAGATCCCAAAGGAAAACAAGACTGATTCACTAAAGCAAAAACAACTACAGATAATCTGTACTGCAGACGTACATCACAAATGTGAAGCTTAGCAAGTCATCTACTGCAGTATTAGTAAAATTCCATCCAGGTAGTAAGATCTTGCAGTAACTATGCAGGTTTCACAAAGCAAAGAGACTGCCCTAGCTCTGAACACGTTCAGTTTGAGGTTTAACCCTTCGACTACTGCCATCACACCTAAATTAGAGACCAAGCCACCTAGATGAAAGGCTGCAACTGCATCAAGAAGCAGGGTTAATGTTTCACAAAGCGAGCGCGAGAAGGAGCAAATCGGCGCTCTATTTACAAGGTATCTCACCCAAAGCGAAATGCAGTGAGCGTACAACAAAGGCTCAGACTACTACCGGCCCAGGATGTTGCCTACCCTAACCGGGCTGGTGGAATAGAGAAGGCACCACGGCACCAGCTGATCCAGCCGCAGCCCGGCTGCACACTCGGAGGGGCCTGAAGGCCCGTGTACTCACGGCGGCAGGCAGCCGGCCCCGCCACAGCCCGTGTCCCGCCACTCTCGCAGCAGGGCCGCAGCAGCCGGGCCGCAGAGAGACGCGCGGGCGGACCTCGGCCATTTTGTCCCAGTCTCCGGCGCGCCCGGTCACCAGCCCAAGATGGCGCCGGGCAGACACCACGGAACGCGCCGACGGGCGAGCAGCTACAGCGTTCCTGCCGCCCGACCTCCCTGCCGGAGGCCTCCTCATCCGCCACCTGCTCCGCCCAGGCCTCAGGACGGGGACACGGCGGATGCAGGGGGTGAGGAGGGAAAGCACTGCCCGGAGAGACGGAGGAGCGTAGTGGGGGGGGAAGACGGGACGCGGCCGGGCAGCGCGCTCAGGCTCCATGTATTACCCGCTCGCCGTAGTTCTGCTCCCCGCTGTCGCTCATCGTCTCACCGCCGCCGCTCCCCGCCGCTACCGCCGACACAACCGTCCCCGCCGCCTGCACGCTCCGCAAAGGAAGTGACGAACCCCGAGCGCGGGCTCCGGGGCCCGCCCCCTCCGCCCATGAGGGAAAGTTCCGCCCTCCCCAGGCGACGGAGGCTGCTGCGGTTGCCGGTGGCAGCCCCTAGGGGATCGGTAGCTGCTCGGTGCCGGGAGCTGGGACACGGGCGGACCCCTTCACAGCCGAGTGGAGAGGCCCTGCCTGCCCGCCCGGCCAGGGAAGGCTGCGGCCAAGGCCAGGGTCTCCTTACACAGGTCGTGCCGGTTTAAAAACCTCGCTGTGATTGCAAGAGGGGGAGATGGCCAAGAGTGTTAAAGCATTAGCTTAGTGCAGGTCGGGAGTGAAGATCGGGATGTTTCTACAGTGCCCAGGCGAGGGCAGCATAGCATCACTGAACAGTCATCGCTGCTAGGTGCTGGGATTGTGCCTTCCCCTGCAAGGAGCGACATCAAACGCCTTTTCCTTCGTCGCTCCGGCTGCCGCGTTTGGTTTATTTCACCTTGGCAAGACAGGCAGCACGAGTAAAGCACCATCGTCCACAAAAAGTCAGCGTGGCTTCTGATTGTGCAGGTATTAAACGAGGACGCCCAAATGGAGTGGATTGCTGTGACCTAAAATACACCAACTTAAAATACACCCTTTCAGTTTAAGCAAAACGCTGACCTAGTGCTCTTGATGCCACGGCACTGCACAAGGGTGGAAGTGTGGAGACAGGAGTCATCACACCCAGTCAGCACATCCCAGTGCATCGGTTACCCCATGCACTGCTGCTAAAGGATGCACTCCCACTCCGTGGCAGCTCCCATAACCATCTGACACACCAGCAGCAGTTATTTCCCTTCACTTGAACACATTCCCTCTAGAGTGAGAGTTGGGATAAGGCTCTGCACACACCTGTATTTGTGCTGTTAAATGAGCAGCGAGGTAGAGAGTTGAACACCTCGGTACCTGTTCAAACAGTGGCTTTTTTTTTTTTCATTCCCAGCGCTATTTGCCACACATTTAAGAGGTAGCAGCAACGTGCTGGAACAGTAAAGCTGAAAACACCAGACAGCAGCTTGGTGGCAAGCTGTGGAGACAGCAATTTGACTGATAGCTTTAAACACTGGTGAGCTGTGCTGTGTGGCAAGCAGCTCCGGTGCTGCACATTTCCAGGTGATGACTTCTGAAACGCCCAGGGGGATTCCAGCTCCGTTTCCATTAACTTTGACACTCACAAGAAGAGACAAGCTGGAGGCTGCTTGGCCGCTCTTCTGCCTCCCAGCCCCAGAACACAAAGATAAATTTATCAACCAAAGAGGAAGGCTTTTGCAGCTTTTGCTGATATAGAGATACTGCAAGTTTTTTTTAATGCCACTTTTCAATGGCTTCATCTCCATGCTTTGCTGCTGTTACAGCACAGTTAGTGATACACTGTGCTGTACAAAGTCACAAGCAAGAGTGGCAGGATGGAGACACAGAAAGCACCATGTGTTTATTGAATCATTGAGGACTGGAGCTCAGGAAAATCAGTTTTTCCTGTATGCTGCTTATAACAGAAGGGAGAAAAGGAGCTTCCTGTGCTGACAGGTCAGGGAGAGATATCTGAAATGAGCTGCCAAAGCTGGCTAACATTCAGGAGCATGACATTGAAGTTATGGGTTGTCTTTAGAAATCATATCGCTCCTCCAAAACATGCAGCAAAGAGTTCTGAGTGATTGGTACCTGAACTCTACAGGGTTCTCCTTTGGTTCGCTTTTGGTGCAGAAAGTTTAATGGCATTTATTTTCCATCCCCTTGGTCTATATAAAGCTAAGTAATCCACAACCCTCAGAGAGGGTCCTGTGACTGTGAAAGCAAAACCTCTGCTGACAACACTCACCACAGAGCCAGGCATTGGTCTGACCACCCGTCCTCAAGCTGTTCCCCTTCAACAGCAGGACTGAGGAGACACCACTGGGGATAAACTGGCTGAAGTCTGCTAGGAGCAAGGGCCTCTTGCAGCTCCGCTGTCCCCACAGCTCATGAAGATGCTCTGAGCAGGAGAACAGGGCACAAAGGAAAACAGCCGATCAGAGAGTGCTCTGATCCTTTCTATTCATAGTTAAACTGGGTCAACGAAGAGCTACTGAAGCAATCCTACCTTTCAGCAAACATCTGACCCCACTGTTCTTCACCTCTGCAACAGTGACGCAGATGTATGAGATGATCCCAAGGAGATTATCTCATTGCTGCGGGAGGCACTCAGAGATGCAGCTCTTCCTTTCTCTTCATTTGGATTACGCAATTGGATTCAAGACATGCTTTCTGGTTTGCTTGGGGCAATCCCAGCTTGTGTTTTTACAGCGTGAATATGCATTTGTGGAACTCCTGGCTGTGTTCTCCACAGCCATATTCCTGGCAGAGGTTATAAAAGCCATTTGTGCAGTTAAAATAACAGTCTCACACATGCTACATCATCTTCAGAGGCAACTCATTCCTCAGAAGAGATCCCTCAAAATCTACAGACAGCTTAGGTCATGCACTCTTAATTTCAGAGCATGCTTAGACATGACTTGCACTCAAGCAGTGACTGTCCTCTCTGTGCTCATCTGCATTTGCTCTTTCAGCAAGTGTCTAATGCTGGTTCACTGATTATTTTTGAGCTGGCTCGCTCCCTAATGTGGTTTCTGTGTGCTCCAGCAAGCGTGTTGGAGTGCTGTGGGGGCAAGGAGAGGCAGAGGGGGAACAGGGAGCTGTCAGGTTGGCTCTGCAGCTGCAGACATATTGGAATCAGAGTGCGCCACTGAAAACAAAATAAATCTTTTCATTAATTTCAGAAGTGTGGGGTGTCTTTTTTATATAGCCTGCAATTCAGTAAGCAAATGCCAAAGAATTAGCACCCCCTGAGTAAGCATTGCTATTTGTCAAAATAATAATTTCTCCTCATCTTGCATTACTCATGGGAGTGGAGCCTGGGGAGCTCGTGGTGGGAAGATTCCACCTCTGCAGTGGAGCCGTGAATGATCTGATAGGTGACACTGCAGGGCTGCAAGTGGGATGTGGACATGCCATGGGTTGTAGGTGATCCCACACAGCCCTATGAGACCATGTTGTTCCAGACTTGCAGCCCTTTTGGTTTTTCTCTCCAGGCTGCTATTGTTTAAGCTCTCTCCGTTCTAAAAGACCGGGGAGGAGATCTCACTGAGATTATTAGTGATACTACTTGCTGTATGAAACTGGGGATTAAAATCAATTTAATTAACCTGAATGAAACAATCTTTCGCACATGGTTCAATTTCAGGAGAGGTGTCAGAACAGGCAGAGAAGTTTAAATAGACTGACCTGTACCTGTGTAAGCAAGGTAAGTATAAGAGTCTCACTGTAGCACCTACAGAAGATTCTTTAATCTACTTAACCTGTTTCAGGGACAACAGTGAAGCAATGCATGGCTGGGGCTGGGACTGTACAGGCAGGCAGGTGAAAGCATGCTCTGGTGTTTCTGTATTCCACTGGAAGTGAAAGCAGACGAGGATTTGGAGAAGGAAAGTACCACAAAGCTGTCTGTATATGCTGCTGTTCTTCC